TACTTAACATCCGCATCCGCGGATGTTAGCTGTTAGATATTCGCATCCGCATTCGCATCCGCGGATGTCTAAAATTCCACATTCGCAACATCCCTAGTATGTACTTAGAAGTAAAGATGCAAGTGTGGTGAGATGAAAGAAAAAAAATTAGGAAAACGAAATTTAACGTGGAGTATAATGAATGAACTGGCAATCCATTGTGAGCGACAGAGTGCCGGACATGAGCGCCTGGAAGCGTTCTGATACTCCTCGCTTGGAGTCCGGCGCTCTGGAATGTATGTATGTATGTTTTATTAAATGTGTTCCAGACTCCTCTCAGCTATATATTACAATTGATCTTGTTTCATTCCTTGTGTATTCCCGGTCGTTCACCTCAAATATGCACTTGTCGCCGTTCCTGTGGTTTTGTATGCCATGTATGTACCTATATCGGTGGTCGTTATGTATAAAACACACGTATGTATATACCAGCCGCCTTGGTGGTAGAAAGTCTCAATACCAAAATTTAGTTTTTCAACACTCTTGTGTCTCCTGGTGCTCGACAACCTGCAATAATTTTGTGTTGCTGAGTTTTTTTTCTGCATATCATCTTGGTATTGACGTTGTTGTGTGGTCACCTTTTTTATTTTTTTATTAACATCATACTTGTGTTCGTATGTTAACATATCAATTGTTTGGTTATACGAATGTACGTCTATATTTACATATGTGCGGGTTTATGTGCTTGGTGACCTTTGCTTATTTGACTTATTGGTTTCACGGAAAAGATATTATTCTTCAACTCATTTATTTTTAATTTTGTCACGACATAAGTTATATCCCATTTTATTAGTTCTTCTTCATCCCATTTTATACCAATTCATTTCGCTAATATAATATATGTAAACCATTTTTTTTATTATTTTACTATATATGTTTTTGTTATTTTATAACCTTCTAACAATTATATTCAACAATTTTTATTGAGCTTGAGGCCGTTTTTAACGAAAAACTTATTGTGGAAAAGCAGCAATAATTTGAAAAAATGGTAGAAGTGATAGCTATTTCGGAAATCACCACATTTCCTCATCAGACTTCTTTCAGTAGGATTCGAACCGATTATCCCACTGACTCAGCCAGTTGCCTACGCACTGTGCTTTGTTCGCCTTGTGAATTCTTGTTGCTTTTTCCACTATTTCATTTGTTAAGCCAACTATAATCAAGCGCAGCTATTCCGCTGCAATTCACACTTGATCATGTGGTTGTTGGTTTTGTTGATAATTCTATTTTTAGAATGTTTAACATTTAGGTGTGCTCGTCCTTTAGCTCTTTGTTTTTGTTATTTTATGGCCTTATAACAATTATATTCAACTATTTTTATGAGCTTGAGGCCGTTTTTAGTGAAAACTTATTGTGGAAAAGCAACAATAATTTGAAAAAAATGGTAGAAGTGATAGCTACTTCGGAAATCACCACATTTCCTCATGAGACTTCTTTCAGTAGGATTCGAACCGACGATCCCACTGACTCATTAAAAACGTTCTCAAGCTCAACAAAAATTGTTTTTTGAGACAGTAAAATTTTGTTTTAATTTAGCTTTTTTACGTTAATTTCGTTTCAATTCATTATAATCATATTTTAGTTTCTTTTAATTTTAATTCAATTCCAATCTTGTTTTAGTATATTTTAATTTTATTTTAATTCATCTCCATCGATATTTTATCCATATTTTAAATTGATTTTCAGGTGTACAATTTATTACCTTGTTTATACCAACACAAAAAGTGCTTTGACCCAGTTCGCTGTGATTCAAAACGGAGGCATAAACCAACTTTCAATACGCTCAGAAATTCAAAAGTGTATTGACTCAAATTTGTTTTCAAATCGCTTTTTTATTTCTCACATCGGTTAGAAAACAGGTATAAACACATCACTTATATGACGCGAAGTGGAAAACGCTGGTTTTCTTTATACAGCCCGTTGTAAATTTGAATTGTTATTATAACAAATTTGAATTCTTGCTCGCTTCCATTTCGGTCCACCGCGCAAACTAATTATTTAAGAAATATGGAATAAAAATTTAAAATTTTGTTTACTTTTGAATACGGTTTTAGCTAGTGCATGCATGCATTATTTCGGTTTTCTAACGAAAGTCTGCGAATTATTTCGTTTTTTGTAATATGAATTATTTACTTCTACTTAGTAAGGGCTTTAATCCCTAAGCGCGATCGAAAGCCGCCTACGCAGAGAGAAGTCCTACGCAAAAATACTTCCGGTCCCCTTTACCGGCAACACAGAAAGGAGAATTCTACTTAGTAAGGGTTATAATCCCTAAGCGCGGCCGAAGGCCGCCTACGCAGA